CAAATTAGTAAATGTAAATTTTTATAGGCTGACAAGGGGATTAAGTGGCAGAACCAAGAAAATCCAGGGACGCATTGTCAGACAGTAGTTAAAGCGGTTCCCTTTCCTCACTCCAGACCTAGAGCTGAGCACCTGCTCACTCCCAGGGAACGCAGACTCGGATGCAGAGTGGTGGTCTGCCGAACCATGGCGCCAATCCTGTCAATGCCAAAGTCACACTGGCATCCATGGAAAGGCAGGGAACTCTATGAGAAGATAGAAACACACAGTGGGTACGAGAAGATTGTCTTTCTCACTGACTCATGGGTCAAGGGTCAGTCCTCTTCTGAAAGTTCTGCTGAACCATCTGCTAGCTCCAGCGGAGCCTCTGCTGGACGCAGTACTGAAGTCAGTGACCTTACAAACAAAGCCGGCTCCTCTTCTCTCTGACTACAATGTCACAACTGTATGAAATAAGCACACGCTCATAGGAATGTGTCTAAATCTGTCCCATCTTCCATGTAATCTACTTCAGTGTTTGCAGATTCTCTCAGGTTCTATGAGCTATGACAGTTCAGGGAGTTGTTTGGGAGCTTGAAGGGGCCTACTTAGGCTCCAGCACCAAGGCAAGCTCCCAGAGTTGGGAGAGAGGTACATGAGCTGAATTCACCCTAGAAGGAGCTCTTCAACTATAACCCCCTGCAGGGAGCCAGGGGCCAACATCCACGGTCGCTGTCACTTCATCCAGGTGCTCATCGAGGTCTCAAGAGGAGATAGATCCTGCGTACCAAACCCTAAAAGTTGAAATTCCCAAAGATAAAAATTTCTGAAATGACATCCTAGGTATATGTAATCCTAGGACCTGGGTAGTAGAGGCAGGAAGATCAGCGATTCAAAGCCAACTCGACCCTGTCTCAAAACCAACTTCTGGTAGTGCACATCTCTAATGCCAGCGCTAGAGGCAGAGGCAGACAGACCGCTGAGTTCCAGGCCAGCCTGCTCTACAGAGCGAGTTCTAGGCCAGTCAGGGCTAAATAATTAGACTCAAAACAAAAACATAAAGCAAACAACAAAAAGAAGAGGAAGAAGAAGAGGAGGAGGAAGAAGAAGAGAGAAAGAGAGAGAGAGAGAGAGAGAGAGAGAGAGAGAGAGAGAGAGAGAGAGAGAGAGAGAGAGAGAGACTAGAATCCCAAACACTGAAATTCTGAAAGTCAAGTCAAAACAATTCCTGTGGAAAAGGAGAGCTATATTAGGAGTGTAGCAAGCTGGATTCTGAGACTGCATCAATGTATTCTCCGTTATATACAAGACAATTGTCAAGCTACTTACTTTCTTACTATTTTCTGCCCTTTCTCACAATACCATGCTACCTTCCAAACATCGTCCCTTAGCTGGTTGAGGTGACACACAATCTCAGCATTCAGGAGGCTGAGGCAGGAGGATGGTGAGTTTGCCGATCAGCTTCAAGAGCCCTGCCTCAAGAAAAAAGAAAAGGATAAAAATGCTGCTCATAAGAGACTAAGAATTGGTCGGTGGTGGCACACTTCTTTAGTCTCAGCACTTGGGAGGCAGAGACAGGTAGATCTTTTGTGAGTTCAAGTTCAGCCTGGTCTGTAGAGCTACACAGGACAACCAGGGCCACACAGTCTTGAAAAACTAAAAAAGAGAAAGAAAGAATAAGAAGAATTTGATACCCAGGGCGGGTTGGTGGGCAGCTGACACAGGGCTACCTTTGCACAGACTCTCAGTCAATGGTGAACTGCTCTCAGTCATGAATTTGACTGGCAAAGCAGAAAGGCCTCTTACATTTTCCAACCAATTTACATAGAAGAACTAGCTCATGCTTCACTTTGGCCAAAATTGTCTCCACTGTTTTTATCCAATATAAATAATGTATACATGACCCACAGATCTGAAATTTACTTATATTCAGTTATATATTAATGACTATATAGCAAATCACTTTATAAATTTGAGTTTGAAGGTTTGGTAATTTGTTGTTGTTTTTTTTTTTTGAGACAGTGTTTCTCTGTAGATTTGGAGCCTGTCCTGGAACTCGCTCTGTAGCCCAGGCTGGCCTCAAACTCACAGAGATCTGCCTGCCTCTGCCTCCCTAGTGCTGGCATCAAAGGTATGCGCCACCACCGCCTGGTTTGGTGAATTTTACAGAAAAAAAGAAAGGGAACATTTCAAATAAATCTCCAAACCATAATGAATGGTTTGGGATTAGGTATGAGCAAGTATTTGGTAAATGGATTTCAAGGTATTATCAATAAAGTTTATTTTCGTCCCATTCATCCCAATGCATTTGGTGGAGAGTCAGATGGTTGAGGAAAGAGCTGTGAAAACCTCATGTAAAGAAGCTTCGTTTGCCCAGCACTCAGGAGGCAGAGGCAAGAAAGCTTAAGTTTGATATCAGTGTGGGCTACACAGACTCTGCTTTAAAAGAATAGGAAAAAATAATAATCCAGGCATGGTGGCTCACACCTTTAATCCCAGCATTCAGGAGGCCAAGGCAGGCAGATCTCTGTGAATTCAGAGTCCAGCCTGGTCTACAGAGTGAACTCCGGGACAGCCAGGGCTATATAAAGAGACCCTGTCTCAGAAAAGGAAAGAAAAGAAAAGAGAAAAGAGGATAATTTATCTCCATTGGCATTCCATCCAGCTGATTAAATTCCAGGAGCTTTTAATGAATTAAAAGCTGCAATAGCCTGAAGGAGTCAGCCAATGCCTAACTAGTTGGAAAATAATTATGTGCACAGTAGGACAAGAAGCCACTTAGGCAGTGCTGTTGCTGTTCAATCACCAGCTTTGCTTCTGCCAGATCTGTGGTCTGCATAGGAGAGCATGTGGAATGGATGCCAAATGCCCAAAACAACACAGAAAAGGGCCCTGGAGATAGGAGCATCCAATGGCGAACGCTCCCATCAGTGTGTAGAAAGATCATAGAGGAACTTTCAAAAGAGCCATGCCACATGGAAAATGGATGGGAATGGATTGTCCTAGGAGATCTGTGCATCACCACAATGCATGTCTATAGAGTTAATGATTCTGGAATCGAGCCAGCTTGTGTGGACTGTTTTCCTGAAATTGTCTTTGATCTATGTTTAATCGTTTTTTTTTTTTTTTTGTGGGGAGCGTGTCAGAGGACTTGGGGCTCCAGTCCTTTCTTTTACCCTGTGGGCCCTGGAAATCAGACTCAGGTTGTCAGTCTTGGCAGCAAGTGCCTTTCCTTCCTGAATCCTCACCAGCCCCTTGATCTAGTCTCTCCTTTTGTTTTAGTTTTGCTTTAGATTTGTTTTTATATGTGTGGGTGTTTCACCCGCGTGTATGTCTCTGCACTATGTGCATGCCATTGTCCATGGATGTTAGAAGTGGGCATTGGATCCCCTGGAACTAGAATTACAGATGGTTATTTGCCACAATGTAGGTGCTAGGATCAAACTTAGCTCCTCTGGAAGAGCAGTCAGCACTCTTAACCACTGAGCCTTTGCTTCAGTCCTTTGATCTACTATTTATTTATTTGGTTTTTTGGAGACAGGGCCTCACTGTATAGCTCTGGCAGTCCTGGGATTCACTATGTAGACCAGGATGTCCTCAAACTCACAGAGAACCACCTGCTTCTGTCTCCCAAGTGCTGGCATTAAAGGCATGAGCCACTGTAACAGGTTTGATCTATTCTTGAAGTACACTTTTTTATTCATCCAATTTGTTTTTTAGTAAACAGTTCTGCATTGTTGGATATAGAATCTAGGACCTTAGGCTGGGTGTTGGTGGCGCACGCCTTTAATCCCAGCACTCGGGAGGCAGAGGCAGGCGGATCTCTGTGAGTTTGAGACCAGCCTGGACTACCAAGCCAGTTCCAGGACAGCCTCCAAAGCCACAGAGAAACCCTGTCTCGAAAAACCAAAAAAAAAAAAAAAAAAAAAAAAAAGAAAGCTAGGACTTTATACATATTAGGTAAGCACTCCACCAACTGAGTCACATCCCCAAGTTCCTCACTTAAATTTTTCTCCCTACTATTTTATTGTTGCTTTTGTTTGTTTGAGGGTCAAGAGTTCAAAGTCACCTTAACTATTAATACACAGCAAGTTCAAGGTCAGTCTTGTGTATTTGATGAGACCCTTGCCTTTTAAAACAAAAGAAGAAAAAGAAATTGAATTATTTTCCAGAATAATTACATTGTTAAGGTGTTAATCTTTCAGGGTTTTAGAATTTAGAGATACTTTATCACTTAGGATTATGGCCTTTGGGACTGCGTATTTGGGGATCGTAGCCGGCATTCACCACCATCATGATCATAATAGTAACAAGAACAACCTAGTTTGATAAGCCTTTCTAAGACATCTTTGTGTCTTTCATCTTATAGCTCAGAGAGGCAGTTGTGACCCACTCATCATCATGCTTTGCTTGGTCCCTTCGCTAGCTCTTCCAGCTCACCCGCAGCTGTCCCCGCGGGGAGTTCTGTTTTCAAGAGCGAGCCTAGCAAACACTCTGTGTGCAGCAGGATCCTCTGGGGCAGGAAGCCTTGCATAGTGCTGGAATTTCTAATCCTTAAGATGCTCCTATGTGTGTAGACTGGGGAGGGAGAAGGGGAGAGAAAAAAGAACAGCGGTGGTGTGATTTGGGTCTAAAGAACGGGTTATCTGGGACTTCATTTCATTTGGGTCACTTGAGGCTCAACCGACGCCCAAGAGAGAGGCCAACGCGTCATCGCTTATCCGTTACCTTTTCTCCACAGCCTTCCTCAGCCACCAGGGCAGGCGCCTGCTCCTGGTTGCCGTGGCAACCGCGAGGAGCCCTAGCCAGTTCCGCTACTGCACTGACTTCTGCAGCCTTAGCTGAGATGCAGCGGTGAGGACCGACAGACGGTGGCAGACCCAGGTTCTTCATTCCTTCCTCGCTGCTCTGGACTCCGAGAGAACGAGGGAAGGCACAAGGATGAAAGAAGTGTGCCTTGGGGCCTCCGGAGGAGACCCTTTGCTGGGATTGTAGCCGGAAGGTGGAGTCGCCACACATAGGATGCATGCCGCCACAACAGCTGCACCTGTGTCCTGAGGACCGGTCAGCCTCGGGAGGCAAGCTCTCACCGGCGAGGCAGATGTGAAGTGAAGCTCCAGTCCGTAAGTACCATCAAATCTCCTTCTGGGTAAGCAAATCCCTTAAAGGAAAAGGTTTTGTGTCTTGACGCCTTAAAAAAAAAATCACATCTTTCAATTGTTTATGCCTTTCCTTTCCTTGCCTTTCTGACATATATGAGATTCTTGGAACAAATCTGTCTGCTTTTAAATGCCTTGTTCTCTTAACCAGTGGGAGCGACACTCCAGTATCAGTGTCTCCTTTCCTGCACAACGCCCCACCGGCTGATACCATGCACCATAACACGCCCCAAAGACTGAGAAACACAGCTCTCAGTTTCTCAGCCAATACAGTTCCATTTTCTTCATTTTTCAGTCCCCCAATCAAAGAAATAACATCCTTAAGCAAGCTGGCGGTATGCCAGATGTCAGAGGACAGAGGGCTGCCTGGGATCCCCACGACACCGTGTCCTTTCTACAGGCTCAATGTGAATCCATTAGCTCATCCACAGGCGACAATAATTACACTCAGAGGGACGTTTGTTTCCGTCCAGTAGAGGGCGCCGACGCTCGCCTGCACAGCTCGGTAAACAGGCCAGAGGTGCCATCCTCACACGGTAGGCATGCATGTGTGCCCCTGGCTGCGGAGGACCCAAGGCGAGTCAGCCTCTGTCGATCGTTAACAAAGGGATGGTTATATTGGTCCCCTTGGAAGTCAAGGGAAGGGCAAAAAGACTTCCAGAGCACGGCATTCGTTTCAGAAGCAAATGTGCGTGTTTCCAGGGCAAAGTACTTTGAGTGCTTCCATCAGTGTCTTTTCCTTCCCCGCCAACCCTTCCTCCTCGAGCCCCCAGTCTTTTCTTACAGCCCTGGCGCTGTGATGAAGTGTTTACTGTTTACCGTACTGGGAAGACAAGAGAGAAAATAGGGAAACCTAGTTGGAATGAACGATAAACCAACGGCTGCACTTGCAGGCCCCTGCAGTTGTCAGCCCTAGCTGCATGTTGGAACATCTGGGGTTTCCTGCCCCAGACATTCTGGCTTAGCTCCCAGGTGATTCTAAAGCGCTGAGGTTGCCCGCCGCCGTTCTAATCAGGATGACGTATTTCCAGGTGAACTCGGCACTGGTTTAGCCTCTCAAAAGCGCGGCTGCTGGAGGACGGGGGTGTATTGTTATTGTCATGTGTGACTAGCCACCGTGTGGAAGAGAGCTGGCAGCACCTTTGACTGCCTGGAGCAGCTGAAGGTGAAAGGGATGTTTCAAAGGAGGGAGGGCGCACCTCTCTCAGAATGGGCTCCTTCTGAAAACCTTCTCACCTATATTCCAAACCAAGGAGAAAAAGAAGCGCGGGCTTCTGAGGGACTGTAGAGGGAAAACTGCAAGGGTCTTAGAAACGGATTCCAAGTCTGTATGCTTATCAGAGTCACACCTGTAACTGCCCAGCTCTCCAACTGCGAGGAGAACAGCTATGGGCTATCGGAAAGAGCAGGGGGTGGGGCGTGGTGATTTATGGCTGTAGCTCTGGGACTTGGGAGGTAGATGCCAGAGGATGATGGGTTGAAGGCCATCTTCAGCTGCATAGAAAGCTTGCGGCCAGCCTGGGCTACGTTAGACTTCAAAGACGGAAGGGAGAGTGAAAGAGAGAGAAGGCAGCCGGGCGTTGGTAGCCCACGCCTTTAATCCCAGCACTTGGGAGGCAGAGGCAGGCGGATCTCTGTGAGTTCGAGACCAGCCTGGTCTACAGAGTGAGTTCCAGGACAGCCTCCAAAGCCACAGAGAAACCCTGTCTCGAAAAACCAAAAGAGAGAGAGAGAGAGAGAGAGAGAGAGAGAGAGAGAGAGAGAGAGAGAGAGAGAGAGAGAGAGAGAGAGAAGGCAGGAATACGGTAGCCATTTGAACAAAGGAAAAAGCAAATAAAACGACCTAGAAATTATAGTTCTAATCCTTTTCAAGACTGAACTGATTACAGCTTTAAAGCCCTCCTACACCTAAGGGAAATCTTACAAATGTCCTTTCCCTGAGAACTGGAACACCAGGGTAACATCCTCTTCACAAACACTCTTGCAGACCAGGAAGCAAAAAGCTTCTTCTAAACTTTGCATTCTAAAGCTGTCTCATGAATATTCATAAGTCATAAATGCTGGGAAGCAGGCAGAGACTACACAGCTACTTCTCCACAGCCTGCAGTGCTCACTCAATTAGGTGAGACCTCAGACTCCAGGCCTGTGCGGTGAGAACTGTAACCAGTCTACAAAGCCAGGGCACCAAGTGGAGCCTGCCTAGAAGCCCAGCACTTAAGAGGTAGTAGTAGGAAGGTCAGTGGCTGTTCGCCAGTGCATGGTGGGTTCTAGCCCAGCCTGGGCTACGTAAGATTCTCAGAAGCCAAACTGAAACAAACTACAAAGTGTGACCTGGTGCTTTCTAAGACTTTCCCATTAATTTTGATTAGATGGAGAAAGGGCTAACGTCTTCTTGGGGGGATGGGTGCAAATGACAGTCCTGCCTATTGTACTGACAGCCTGGCCTCTGTCATTCATTTCATAGATTGGAAGGAGAATTAAGTGACCACATAAAGAGCGCCCACCCACCCAACTGCGATCACAAGGCCTCCTGTGCCAGGCTGAGAGAGGGGGCCAGGAGGATACCCACACAGAATGGCCACGACTCTCCCACATATTGTACCAGATAACTTTGTCTCCGCATTCCCAGCTAGGGACTGGGACAAGCCTCTCCTTGTGCTTATTTACCAAGCAACCCCAAAGAGTTACAACATCTCCATCCTTCCTTTACTTATTGTCTCTTTAGAGGCTCTCTCTCCCTCCCTCCCCCTCTCTCTCTCCCTCCCTCCCTCCCTCTCCCCCCTCTCTCTCCCTCCCTCTCTCTCTCCTCTCTCCCTCCCTCCCTCTCTCTCTCTCCCTCTCTCTGCCCCCCTCCCTCCCTCTCTCTCTCCCTCCTTCCCTCCCTCCCCCCCTTCTCTCTCTCTATCTCTCTCTCACACACACACACTGTGTTGCCTCCTCGTGGAGCTGCCCTGTTCTCTGGAGACCGCCTCCACTTACCCTGGGCCTTCTACAGGGTTTCCCCAGCACTTGCTCAGCACAGGAAGGCTGTGGATACCCTTTGCCTAGGCAGCTCTTAGCTTCCCTCACTGACCAGTGCTCTTTGGACAAGTTCTGCCAGACAGTGACTCACGGTGGCTTCTGCTCTCCAGCCCCAATACCCGTTTCTGACTGGTCACCACAGAGTTGACCCACCTCACAAGGCAGGATGCCAGCACTACAAAGGCTGCCTGTCCTCTAGACGGCTAACCAAGAACAGAACAGTACATCTGGGTCTCGCCTCACACCATGCCTTCCCACCACAACCACCAAGAACTACTCCCTGAAAATGACAGCGTACTCCACAGCTGGAAGTGTCCAGTAACCCAGCTCACCCCCAGAAAGAGCTACCTAAACTCAGAGGGGGAGGCCTCAGGAGTCTCGGGTGCTTTATTAAAGCCCAAGTTGATACTTTAGCAAACTGGATTGTGGCTTATCGGTGAGCTGGGAAATCAATTTTGTGGGTCACAACCCCAAATGTGCCACACAGATGGAGAGGTTTTGTTGGCTGAAATGTGTGTTGGCTTTGTATATATGTATGTCTGTTGTACACTGAGTCACGAAGCTTTTGTTTTATTTATTCTTGGAGTTAGGGACCAAATCCAGAGCCCTGCCCTTGCTAAGCCACACCCCCAGGCAGCGAGATTCAATTCTTTGTACGGGTCACAGTCAAACAATAGTTATGCTCATTCCCTGCAGTGAACATTGAAGGAAGTCAGGACTGAATCACAATAAGATAGTCAGGTTCCAGAAGAGCTGACAGAAAGTAGAATTAAATATATTTTGGAGTGGTTTAGTGCTAGGAATTGAACCCGGGCCATGTGCAGGCTACGCAAGCATTTTACCATGGACACGGGCTGACTCAGGCCTTCTGCATGCCCAGTTCTGAGAGGTCTCTGTCCTGCGTATGCTGATGTGAGAGCTGGTTATAAGCACTCCATGCCCTTCTGTGCACTGGTCTTCTGATAGTGAACCGACCCTTTTATTTTGTTATTTATTGTAGAAGAGCTGAGAATTGAACCAGGGATTTGTATGTGCTATGACCATGGGTTCTATGCTGAGCAACTCCTAGACTAGAACAAACTTTTCACAAGACATTTTGAATAATGCAGAAAGGAAAACCAAAACATTTCACTATATTTTTATAGTTTTCATGACATTTGCTTTATTTAGGGAGGGATGCACCTGGTCCACAGTACTTGTGCGGAGGTCAAAGGTCAACTTTTAGGAGTTAGTTCTCTCCTTCCACCATGTGGGTCCTGAGGATTAAAATTAGGTTGTCAGGCTTGGCAGCAAGCACCTTCACTCACTGAGAGATATATAAATCTCCAGCAAGATGCTCAGTGAGTAAAGATATAAGTAGCTCACACCTCAGGGTTAAGGCGATGGCTCTGGGAGAGCCTGCCTCAAAAATCCTAACATGGATGATGGTGTTGTAGTCAAGTGAGAAAGGCAGAGGGAGGAGGAAGAAGATGGAATGGGAGTAAGAGCTACCCGGGAAACCTGTTCTCTCTTTCCAGGTTTTACAGTCTCTGCACCAATGCCTGCCACCGAGTTCCCAGGTTCTGCTTAACCTGTGGCTTGCTACACAGCTGAGCCTCAGATAGAGCATATCTCTGTGCCCTATTTATTTTTCATTTTGACATGCAAAGTAGCAGGTGGACACGCCCTCCCCAGTCCTCTTTCCCATATGTGCTTCATTTACATCATCCCAAAGAGGGACGGACAGCCTGGCTCTATTCCTTCCCCAAAGGCAGGCAGTGCAGCTTTCCAGTGAGTCTGTGTTTACACCAGTCCAGTGCTCCCCCAACTCCAAGGGCATCTGAATTTCCTGGCAGGCATTCCGTGGACTAGACACTGAGAAATATCCAGGTTTTAAAACCCGATATGGAGCCGGGCGTTGGTGGCGCACGCCTTTAATCCCAGAACTCGGGAGGCAGAGGCAGGCGGATCTCTGTGAGTTCGAAGCCAGCCTGGTCTACAAAGTGAGTTCCGGGACAGCCTCCAAAGCCACAGAGAAACCCTGTCTAGAAAAACCAAAAAAAATAAAAATAAAAAAATAAAATAAAAATAAAACCCGATATGGGACCATCCAGATGACTCGTTGTGTAAACGCACTTGATGCTAAGTGTGATAACTGAGTTTGATCCCTGGACCTGTGTGGTGGAAAGAGAGAACCAGCTCCTGGAAGTTGTCCTTTGACCTCTGTGTGTGCTAGAGATTTGGCAGAGATTTTGAGATTCTATTGGGATCTACATAGAAGCAGCATCACTTATTCTGTTTGCTTCACTATGTGGGTGCAATTTGCCCTTTTAGGTCAACCAAACTAATGCTAGTGCGTACCTGTCTTAGTTAGGTCCTTATTGCTATGAAGAGACACGTGACCACAGTAACTCTTTAAAAACAAAACAAAGCAAAAACATTTAATTAAGGGGGCTCACTTACAGTTTCAGAGGTTCAGTCCAATATCATCAAGGCGTGGAGCATGGGAGAAAATGTGGTGCTGGAGCTTAGAGTCTTTGACTGAGGGGTAACAGGAATTTGACTGACAGTCACCCCGAGGGAAGCTTGAGCAAAAGAAACCTCAACACCCGAACCCCACAGTGACACACTTCCTCCAACAAGGCCACACCTCCTAATAGTGCTACTCCCTTTGGGGGCCATTTTCTTTCAAACCACCACAATACCCTAGGCCAGGCACTTGAGGCAGCAGCATTGCTGTTTCCAGTTTCTATTTAAAGTCATTGCAATCCTGACACAATAACGTCAGTAGGGTTTTTATGAAGAACGTAGGGAGGTAAACATTTGAGCTCATCTTGGTTGTATAACAAATCATTATTCCCATAAAGCCTTCATATCAAACCTTGGGTTCAAATTCTGACCACAATGCTCATTAGTTGTGTGACCTTGGGAAGTGACCTTGGGAAAATATCTTAGTGTCTCTGTAGCTCAATTACCTTATAGCACTTTATAACTGAAAGGGGTAAATTAAACTCAAAGGCTTCACTTCTAATAATTCAGAAATAAAGGGACCAGACCGTCACTCAGCCCCCTGCTTTAGCAGCCATGACAGGCTACAGAAGAGACATGTAGAACTCTGACACGAGGAAACTCCAGATCCTAGCCTCCTGGAGTCTAGGGATAGCCTCCTAGATACTTGGTTCCTGGAACTGTTTGGCCACAAAAGAAACTCCAGGGGGTCCCTGTCATGGGTGGATGAACAATCATTACACCTTGCTTTTGCAGTTTAGTGGGTCTGTCTTTCTGGTGGTCTCTGGGGACTTTGCAACTTGAGCACAACAATAACCAAAAAGTGTGACAATGATATAGGTGAGGTTAGTATGGGGCAGTCCTGTGGTGTAAACAACAGAGACTCTTGGGCTAACTCCTGGAAGGGTGAGGAGAGTTAGAGGCTGGGAATGAGCTCATGAGGTGGCTTCCAGGTGTCAGGAAGGATGAGAACCAGGTGGGGAAGGTGACCAGCTGTCTCCCGCGGCAATTCTTGGTTGGAAGAACTTGCCCTGGTGTACCAGGCTTTTCCTTTTAGGCCATCAACCAGCTCGGAAATCATGATGTGGGGGGCTTATTTTAATGTTTCTCTTTGTCTGTTTTGCCTTTGGGCTTTTTACCTTTGTTTCTATACATGTTACTTTCCTATACATGTTTGTTTGTTTGGCTGTGGGCTGGCTAGGCACCCCCCCCCCACCATGGACTAGTTCTTTCTTCTGTCTTCTCATGAGTCTAGATTCCTCCTACTTATTCTCTCTGCTGGCCAGCCCCACCTATCCCTCTTCTGCCTAGCTATTGGCTGTTCAGCTTTTTATTAGACCAATCAGGTGCCTTAGGCAGGCAAGATGAAACAGTAACACATCTTTTCATAATTAAATAAATGTAGCAGAAACCAATGTGACAACCTTTACACAGTTGAAGTAACATTCACAGCATAAACAAACATAACACATCTTTATGTAGTTACATATTCCACAACAACCCTGTCTTCTGTGACTCTCAGCTTCCCACTCAAATTCCCGGAAGGGAGGTCAGAGTGCCTTTAGCGGGGCTACCTGCCACCAGTGAGAACAACGGGACCTTAAGCTGTGTGCCCACCTTGCCTTCAGGTCCTGTTCCTGGGTGTGATGGATGCTGGGTGGGCAAACACACAAATGTCCTGCTTGAAACCAATGTCGCCAAGCGTCGCAGCGCAGGAGACAAAGGTGCATGGTCTTGTGAAACCCTAGGTCCCTGTGTCATGATTCAGCACACACAGAAGATATTGGGACAGCACCCTGGGGTGAACTGGCAAGGAGATTCAGGAGGAGGAGCTTGGCTGGGAGAGTCTAGCCACCTCTTGCCCTATTACCCCATCAGGCCTGGGGGCTGAAGGTAACTCTGTATGGTGCCCTTTAGTGACCAATCCTGTAGAAGCTTGAGCTTGGGTGGTAAACTTCAGCCCATCTGGTCCCTGCTTTTCTTCCCCTAAGTGAGATTGGTGTGGGTTTTTTGTTTGTTTGTTTGTTTGGTTTCGTTTTTTGAGACTGGGTTTCTCTGTATTGTTTTGAAGGCTGTCCTGGAACTCGCTCTGTATACCAGGCTGGCCTGGAACTCACAGAGATCCACCTGCCTCTGCCTCCTGAGTGCTAGGATAAAAGGCCTGCGCCACCAACGCCCGGCCTTTTTTTTTTTTTTTTTTAATTAAGTTGTTGTCCTTGCTTTATGTTGCCTGTGTTTTCAATGCTAGGAATAAAACCTATGGTGTCTTTTAAACCCCAAGTTAAATT